GCTTAACTTGATTTTTTTTAAATTCGTAGTGTGATTATTTGGTTGATAATAGATTTGACTCCTAAGTGCTACTACGTTATTGTGCACTTGTAAGATTATTAGAGATTTAAAAATCTGAAATACCAAAAGGGACGTTACAAAGCTATTCTTGTTCCACTATCATTACATAAAAGAAAAGTGAAGGTTGATATGACATGACCGTACATGTTCATTCTGTGGAGAGTTCCCATAGAGCATAAATCATCTCGTATTTCAGTACAAGGTTTTGAAGGAGATATATGAACTTCCACCTGCTCTTCATCTTCCAACTGACCATCTAACTACGACTACAATGGATAAAAATGTTGCATAAATGCTTGAGATTAATAATAATTTTGCTAGCAATCATTCTTTGTTTCTCTTTATTGGGTGGAGAATTATGATGGTTTCTATGTGCAGAGCAAAAAGCCTACTAAGAATGCACTAACATATGTGTCTAAGATATTAGCAAAGCTAATATTATGTGTTTTTTCTTGCAGATGCATGGTTCATCGTGTTTTGACAATCAGAGAGCATGCATTGGATGGATGCTCACTTCGGCTGATGGAAAGAAAATAATGAAAGGATCTATCTCAGTTGATCACATTTCAAGTCATGTAGAGACGTAGGCTTATGATCTTGAGAGTAGTCTTCCAAATGGAAATCTTAAACTTTGGAACATTATGTAGAGACTCAGAAATATTATATACAACTACCAAAAATTGCCAAGTAAGAAAACAAGACTAGAGGTACCAGCCCATCTTGAGTATATATGCAACGAAAAGCTGCTAGAATTATGTCTAAAAATTATGTAATCTCATGGAATTTAAATGTGTACTCAAAAATCTTGTAAGTTCATAGTTTAATTTTAATAATTAAGAATTTGAAAGGTAAAAATTATCACAATTTATTGAAATTTTGAGTAATGAATGCATACATAAAAGAATGGGATGGATACTGACACCCAAAATATTGATGTGTTTGATTTTAATGATTAGCATCAAAGGACTTTGCTTAATATTTGTTGAGTAATTTATCAACAATCATTTGATAAGCTCTCTCAGTCGGATGGTAGCTGTCCCAAAATACATAGGCCAAAGAATTATAACAATTGACTGGATTCAGTGTGTTGCACATATAAGATATTACAAGAGAGCCCACGCCGCAACATCCCTTATCAGATACCTCAGAACCTGAAAGATAATAAGAATTTAGTTCATGTCATGTAATAAAAATGAATAATGTATAAGTATATTTGTAAGATGAGCTTACCATATTTCTTAGGGTGTTGGATCATGTCAAAAAGAGTATCATAAACATCAATGTCGAGGATAATACCATCCAACTCTTTATCTAAAGAATCTAGTGCCGGAAAAAGTCTTGAGTTGAATTGTTTTGCCATATTATTTAATGGTTTAACACATCCCCTTCTAAATATACCTCCAAACACTGTTCTTTGTATTGGTACACATCCAACAGGCATGGCGCTAAAGACTCCAATTTTTCGAGCTCCAAGTTTGTGTAATTCCTAAATATTATATAAAAGATAATTAATGATATATAATTATATTATTGCTCGATTTGTACATAAAAATATATGTAAAATACTTACTCTTACGAATTTGACTGCTGAGTCAGCTAAGAAATTGGCATATGAGGTACGATCATATCTATGAGATTGAGCTAAATAAATTGCTACTAGAAACCACGAGAAAAAAAACTAGGTCCAAGATATTTTGGGTTTTTTTTTCTCCAAAATTTTGCTTGATCTTTGATATGTATTCTTTGAAATATGTTAGTTGATCCCACACAGAAATCACTGACTACAAAGAAAGAAAAAGATATATACATTATATCACCTATAATATTAAGCTAACGTTGATGATAAAAAAAATAGAATAGAAATGTACCATAATATTAGCCGTTAATGGATCATAACCAGTTCCTGCAGATGCAAATGTAACACCTTTAAGAAGATCTTTGGGCTTCAAATTTTGGTTTATATATTCTGACAATGTCTTCGGCAGTCCTAATTTTTCCGATGAAGTAAAATTGTTATTAAAAATTGTATCACAATATAAAAATAGCTATAAGTTTAATATAAACAATTGTAAAAGTAATTCAAACAATTATCAATTAGATCAGATGGAACTCTTCCATCAGAAAATCTCCCAATAGCGAGGCCGCCGATAAAGTCCTTGTCGTAGGGAGGGAAGTTGCACTTTAGAAAAGTGGGGAGATTGTTGTTATTACCTGTGTCCATTATTGAATCTCCAAATACTATTAGTGCTAGGATTGTTGCATTCTTTCCTTGATTCGCTGCATTTGTTTCGACGGCTATTAATACGAAAACGAGCCACAACATTTGAAGCTTCATTTTTTTGACTCTTTGTTGGTTTATTTACTTTTATGCTCGAGAGATCGGTTGTTTTTTAAGAATTTTATATATATATGGGATGTTTCAGTTTGTTGGGCTTCTAAGATTATATTGTTTGGAAAATACTTGTTAGGTACTATGATACCTGTAGTTAGTTATTACTTTGATACTGGTTTGAATGCCAACAAAATTTTATAGTTATTTCATATCAATAAAAATGGTATAATTGATTTAGTTTCACAGCTTTGAATATACTATGTTTAGGGTTCGCACCAAATTTATAAATGTCACCGCAATATCTTAAAAGTTAAAACACAACAATAACAAGCCAAACTTCATAATGGGTTTAAATGGTAAGTGCGGAATCTTGCGAAATTTTTGATGATTTTTTGCGGAATCTAGCGGAATAATGTTGAATTCAAATGGTAACTGCTGAATCTTGCGGAATGTTGCAGAATATTTAAGAGTAATTTTGAGAAATACCACTTTTGAAGTGCCATTTTGCAAAAATGCTACACTTTCAAAATCTTTGCAAAAATACCACTTTTTCAAAATAATTTATTGATTATACTATTTATTTTTGGGTTAATTATGTTATATTAGGGTTTAGGGTTAGTTAGGGGTCAAAACATTT